TTTATTTCAAGTAATAGTGGTCCATGCACCTTATTTGTTGAATAAGCCTTATTTTCCCTATTGATTTGAAATATCAATTTAATCATATATTACATTGTTAGATATATATATTTGTTTCTAGAATGCTCATTTTATTTCATTGATCTTCTTGATTATTTCTGTGCTGGTGTCATGTTGTTTTAATTGCTAAGACTTCATAATGGATTTAAATTTTTTAATATTTTACCATGGATTTTGACATTTAAAAAATAAATAAAATCAATCTGCATTTTAAAAAAAAGAGAAATAAGGAACTCCTACCTTTTGTGACAACATGGATGGAAGTGGAGAATATTATGCTAGGTGAAATAAGCCAGTCGGTGAAAGTCAAATACCATATGATCTCGCCTATAACTGGAATCTATTTAACAAAATAAGCTAACGAAGAAAATAAACCACGGGCATGGAAACATGGAGCAAACTGAAAGTTATCAGAAGAGATGGGGAAGGATAATGGTGGTGGAAAGAAGGGGAAGGGACCAGACAAAGAACATGTATGAATGACCCAGGGACATGGACCACAGAGTGGGAATTGACCGGGGTGGGGGGAGGAGGGCAAAGGGGGAAAAATTGAGACACCTGTAATAGAATAAGCATGATTTAAAAAAATATATAAAAATAAAAAAATAAAGAATATTCCTACATTTTTGCCAAAAAAAAAACACAAACACTTAAAGTGTGTGATTCTGGTGACTCATTTCAGCCCTTGCAGGAATAAATATTTGATAAATGCATGGAATTAATTTTTAAAATTCTGCAACCTTACTCCCAAGGGACTTGGTCGAGGGACTATGAACCTTTTCATTACCTGCTTAAACTGCCACATTAGTTTTCTTTTTACACAAAATTTCTGTTTTAATTTGACAGTTTCTTTTCTTCTTGATTAATCCTGTCAGAAGCTTATCCTATTTTTGGTTTTTAAAGAACTAAGTTTAGGCTTTGATCATTCTCTATCATTTGTTTCTATTTCATTAATATTTGCTCTCATCCTTTATTTTCCTTCATTCTGTTTTCTTGAATTGATGCAACTGTTTTTCTAACTTAGAGATAAACTCAAAACATTAATTTTAGGCCTTTATTCCTTTCTACTGGAAGCACTTAAGGTTATAAGTTTCCCCTAATACCTGCTGTTTTGTTCATCCAGTTCTACATATCAAACTACTCCAAACTAGTGGATGTTCCTCTCCTCCTTTATTTGCTCATGATTCTGTGCATTAGAAATTCAGGCAGAGTACAGATTGTTTCTTCACTCACACACCTTTTGCTTCAGTGAGGGTGGCTCAAGTGGTTGAGGGCTGCTGCAATCGCTGCACTGGGGCCTTGCTTCTTGCCATAAGCTGGATCCTCAGTTCTCCCTTCTGATGTGACTTCATGTGATCTCTCCGGCCACATAGCCAGACTTTCTGCCTGGTGCAAGGCTCCCAAGAATGCAAAATTGAATGCTGCCAGGTGACTAGGGTGAGGCAGGAGAGGCATCCAGGCCTCGAAATTAGAGAAGGCACTCATTCTCAAGCTGGTACAGGGTCAGCACATGGAGTAAGTACCTTGGATACTTTGCCCACCAACCTTAGTGCCAGCCTGCTGCCAGGCCATCTAAGGCTGGCACAGTACCACTTCCATCACATTTTAGTGGGTAAGTCACAGGCCCAGCCCAGATTTAAGAGGTAGGGACTATAGTAGATGGGGTAAGAACACAGAGGTATGGAGAGTATGGGAGGCATGGGAGACTCCAGTGTAGTAAATGTCCATACTTGCTTTAGCTGCAGTATACAAGTTAAATTTATTTTATACATATATACTATGTATTCATATTTACATACATAAAAATGCCTAATATACACTTTAGTTTTCACTCAACTCTTAATATATTACAATTTTCATTTTTATATTTTGACCTATATTATTTTTTAAATTGTTTATTGATAATGCTATTACAGTTGTCCCACTTGTCACCCATTGCGCCCCTCACCAGTACCCTACTTCCCTCTGGCAATTACCTCCTTACTTCCTGTCCACGGGGCGTGCATATAAGTTTTTTTTGACTCTTCCATTTCCTATACTATTCTTAACCTTCCCGTCAATTTTGTACCTACCGATTATGCTTCTTATTCCCTGTACCTTTTCCCCCATTCTCTCCCTTCCCCCTCCCAGCTCATAACCCTCCAAATGATCTCCATATCTATGATTCCGTTCCTATTCTGGTTGTTTGCTTAGTTTGTTTTTTTAGATTCAGTTGTTGATAGTTGTGAATTTGTTGTCCTTTTAATGTTCATTGTTTTGATATTCTTTTTCTTACATAAGTCCCTTTAGCATTTCATGTAATAATGGCTTGGTGATGATGAACTCCTTTATCTTTACTTTGTCTGGGAAGTACTTTATCTGCCCTTGTATTCTAAACCATAGCTTTGTTGGATAGAGTAATCTAGGTTATAGGTCCTTGCTTTTCATCACTTTGAATACTTCTTGCCTGCAAAGTTTCTTTTGAGAAATCAGCTAATAGTCTTATGGGAACTCCTTTGTAGGTAACTCTGTCCTTTTCTCTTGCTGCTTTTAAGATTTTATCTTCATCTTTAACCTTTGGTATTTTTATTATGATGTATCTTGGTGTGGTCTTCTCTGGGTCCAACTTGTTTGGAACTCACCATGCTTCTGAGGCTGGCATGTCTCTTTCCTTCACCAAATTAGGGAAGTTTTCTTTTGTTATTTTTTCAAATAAGCTTTCAATTTCTTGCGCTTCCTCTTCTCCTTCTGGCACCCCTATGATTCAGATGTTAGTACATTTAAAGCTGTCCCAGAGGTCCCTAAGCCTATCCCTGCTTTTTTTAATTCTTTTTTCTTCCTGCTGCTTTTTCGTTCCTTGTGTTCAGATCATTGATTTGATTCTCAGCGTCATCTTCTCCACTGTTGATTCCCTATAGATTTTTATTTCACTTAGTATAACCTTTACTTCTTCCTTTTTGTTGTTGCCATACTCAATGAGTTCTTTGAGCATCCTGATTACCTGTGTTTTGAACTCTGCATCTGATAGGCTGGTTCGCTGTGTCACTGTTTATTTCCTAGGGTTTTGGTCTGTTCTTGAATTTGGGCCATATTTCTTTGTCTCCTCAATCGGCAGCCTCACTGTGTTTGTTCCTGCATAGTCGGTAGAACTGCTTTTACTCCGTCTTCATAGTGTGGCCTATTGTAGAAAAGGCACCTGTAAAATGTATGGGACAGAGTATTTGGTAATTGCCAGGGTGGGGCAATCAACCAGGGTGTGATGTGAAGGGCTCAGATAAGGGACGATGCTGCTGCCTGGCTTCTGGGGGTTTGCCTGGTCCTCGCCCATTTCTAGTCACTTCACCCACTTCCCATATGCAACTGGCACCCATCCAGCTGTTGTCCTGGTGGTGAATCCCAGAGTGGGTGGGTTTGTGTACTTTGTAAGTTTGTGGGGGCCCTTTGAATGGACTCTCTTGAAAATCTGGCCATTTCTTCTGCAGCCCTTACCCCTAGTTTTTACAGCCAGAACTCATTGGGATTTATCCTCCCAGTGCTGGAACCCTGGGTTGTGTGGTCTGGTCTGAGGCTGGGATTGCTAGCTCCCAAGATATTCCTCCCAACTTTCATCTACCACACATGAATGTGGTACTGACTGTTCCACCACTGCTGCTGCCTCTCTGTGCCACACTGCATCTCGGCACCTCTCCACCTTTCTCCGAGACTCCACCTCTCCTACCCATCTGGATGACTGTAGCTTCTTTAAATCCTTGGTTGTCAGACTTCTACACAGTTCAATTTTCTAATGCTTCTGGGTTTATCTGTTTCAGATATAGTTGTAATTCTTTCTGTGGTTTGGTGAGGAGGCGAAGTATGTTTACCGACATCTCCATCTTGACTGGAGGTCGTTGACCCATATTATTTATAATTGCATTTAAAATGTTTCATAACATTATGGGTGTTTCTTATCTTTTTGTTATCGATTTCTAACTCCATTGGATTGTGGCCAAAGAATGTATGATACCAACCACTGAATTTTGTTGAACCTGCTTTACAGCCTAAGAGGTCAATTTTTATACGTTTCCATGTATAATTGACAAGATTATGTATTCTCTAATATTGGATGCCATATTCTACATTTGCCTATTAGATCACATTCTTTGTGTTCTTGCTGAAATGTTTTAAATCATAACTGATTTTTAGTTTACTTGATCTCCCATTTATTAAGAAAAGGTATATTAAAAATCTCCAATTATGATAGTGGGTATGTCTATTTCAGCTTTTGGTTCTATTACTTTTACTTTATTTTAGGACTGTGTCATTAGGAACATACCAGTTTAAAGCTGTGACACCTCTCTCACAAACTAAACCCTCTTTATCTGCAGTGATATTTTTGGCCCTAAAGTATATTTTGTCTAATATTTATATAGCAACACTAGGTTTTTCAAACTGAGATTTTGGTTGGCATATCTTTTTTTCCCAGTACCTCAACTTTAAATACCTCTGTGCTTTTTTTTTCCCAGTTACCGTGGAGTTTATTTAAACAAATAGGAAAGGTAACAATGTTTTCATTCAATACATACTTGGTTCTTTAAATAACAATTGTGACAAATAACAGGAAGAATTAAGGAATGTTGTACTTGTGATTTATACAAAACACCAACATTTGGGGTTGTATATAATTTAAGAAATGTTCCCAGCGCTTTTTGAAATAATGTAGCCAATACATAGAGGCATGCCTTATCTGGATACCAAAAGGCGGTTTAGAAAGAAGGGAAAAAAATATCATACTCGAACTACTCAATTTCTTCAAAAACACTGAGCAAGAAAAAAAACATTGAACCACCCTTTTGATTTTACAGAGCTTCTATACAGCACCTTCACTTAAACCCAAGAGTAAAAGTTAAAAGTCTCCATTTTTAGTAAATGTAGATGACTTCTCTCCCTAGATTTTACCTGTAAGAGGCCTTTTCAATTTTTTTTTATTTAAAAGAGAGCAGGTTTGGCACTTTTATACTGATGTGACCAATGTTAATATTGCCTGAGATCTCAAGAAGATTCATATTCTTTACAGCTGATTCAGCACGGACTGGAACTCCTATTAAGCCAGCCTCAGATTTCTCCAGGTTATTTTGTGCATCAATTTGTGTAATGATCTCATTCATGTTGGTCTCCAATACCTTTCCTCCCATCACCATTTCTGCAAGAGTATTGTGAAGTTTGTCTACATGGAAAATTAAATCCAGTTCACAGACATTTTCAAAACACCTGTTTAATGTTTCCACAAATACTCGAATTGTATCTAAAATGCCAAGTTCACTTTCTGAAGACTTCACACAGGACACAAAATATAATATTGCATAATGTCTATAAATCAGCTTGTTGTCAGATGCTCCAATTAATAATCCTCCTTCTAGGAAATTACAAACATTTTCACCTCTCATAGATACCAAATGGACTGTCTCCCTGATGATTTGCTGTTGTGGATCTTCAAAACAGGACTGGTAGAACTTGCACAGCCCCAGCTTCCTGTGGTTACTGAAGACGAGGATCACCTTAACCATGGCCGAGCCGGGGGCCCTCTCCGTGCCTTTTTATCTTAGGTACATAATATATGACTGCTTTTTGTTTTGCTCATTTTCAGCCAATCTGCCCATCTTTATATATTAACTGAAGATTTTTTCCAAATACATTTATTGTGATTATTGATATAGTTGAATTATTTTCCTGTCATCCTATTATTTAACATTCCCACATTTTGTTTCTTTTTTTTATTCTTCAGGTCTTGCTCTTAGATTCAGGGTTTGTTTTAAATTTCTTATTCCATTTCCCTCTATAAATCACAAGTTATAATCTCAATGCCTATCCTTTTAATGATTATCCTAGTCACATAATATATATTCCTAACAAAGTCTTTAACCTCTGCTCCAGTTATCAAATGATATGTAAAAATCACCCAAGCTTAGTGGCTAAAAGTAATTCATAATTATCTCTCATGGTCTGTGTGTTGAGGGGGTTCAACTGAGCAGTCTTTGCTTGGAGTCCCTTAATGGGATAGCAGTCAAATTGTGGCTGTGGTTAGAGTCACCTCAATGTTTTCAGTGTCTAAAATGGCTCACTAGCATTGCTAACAGTTAATGTTGGTTTTTGGCTGGGAGCTTAGCTGAAGCTGTCACATGAAGCACCTGCATGTGGCCATGTGACTGGAATGTATAAAAATATGGCATTTGGGTTCTGAGAAGGAGCATTACAAGAGACCTATTGGAAGTTGCAAGACTTCGTAACATCTAAACTCGAAATTACTGAGTATCACTTCTGCAGCTTTCTATTGGTTATACAGGGCCAGCCCTGATTCAGTATGAGAAGGGCCTACACAAAACTATAAGTGCAGGATGTGTAGTTCATGAGAGAGAGGAAAGGCAGCTTTGTGTATTGCTCCTGAATAATATTGGGTTGACCAAAAAGTCCATTACATTTTTCCATACGATGGCTCTAGTCATGCTTAGTCTTCTTTAACTTCATTCAAAACAATTCTGTTAGATTGTATTGTGATAGCTGTCATATCAGTGTGCATTAAAAAAAATCAAAATTGGTGAATTTTTATGCAGCCATTTTAATATTGAAGATGGAAGAACACATGTAACATTTCAGGTATATTATGTTTTATTATTTCAAGAAAGGTAAAAATGCAACTGAAACATATAAAAAGACTTGTGCAGTGCATGGAGAATGTGTCAAAAGTGGTTTGCGAAAGTTTCTTGGTAATGTTGACATTTTGGCCAAATAATTCTTTGCTGTGGGGCTGTCTTATGCATTGGAAGATGTTTAGCAGCATCCCCGGCCTCCATCCACTAGATGCCAATAGCAGGAAATAGCCAACATACTCAAAATATCTAAATCAATAAAGTTATTGGCAAAAATAAAAAATGTGTCTTTTACTTTACAGAAAAAATGTAACAGACTTTTTGGCCAACTCAATACCTTAAGAGTACATTCATTACAATCATGTACCTCCCAGTTTATGTATAATTGTCCTGTATTTTTTCTAAGTTATTTATCTCTCATAACTTATTTCCATTTGGTATCTACATTAAATTAGTTATTATTGTTATTTCTTTACACAAGTTAGATTTACCCACATATTTGCTCATATTTTTGTTTACTTGCCTTCTTCTATCTTGGGCTTTCCAGCTGAAATATTTTTCCTTCTGCCCATAGTATATTCTGAGGCATTTCCTTTATTCAGAGTCTATTGGTAAACTAACTCAGCTTTTGTCTGAGAATGCACTCATTTTTTCCTAGGTATTAAAACCTTGTTTCACTGTGTACATATCATTTTAGGTTGATAGTATTATCTCTCCAAAACTAAAGATAGCCCACTATCTTTGTGCTACCATTGTTGCTAGTGAGAAATTATATGTTAGTCTAATCTTTAGTTCTTTGCAGATAACTTGTCTTTATTATTTTTCAGAACTCTTTAGCTTTGGTGTTTTTGTTTTATTATAATTTCCTTAGTTTTAGGTTTCTCCCTGTATTCATCTCATTTAGGATTCATTGAGTTTTCTGACTCAAACAATTGATGCTTTTCAACAATTCTGCAAGGTACTCACCTATTATCTCTTCGAAAATTGACTGTTTCATTTCATTTTATCTACTTCTGAAGTCTCTCTTTTTTTTTTTATCCTCACCTGACAACATGCTTATTGTTTTTTTTTTTTTCTTTTTTAGAGAGAGGGTAAGGGATGAAGAGAGAGAGGGAGAGAAACATCGCACACACTCCAACCTGGGTCCGAATCCACAACCTAGGCATGTGCCCCGACCAGGAATCAAACCATCGACGTTTTGGTGTACAGGACGATGCTCCAACCAACTGAGCCACACTGGCCAGGGCAAGTCTATTAGTCTTAGTTGTTAAATGGACCACTCACAATTTTTGTCTCTTTGAGGTGAATTCTGGATAATTTATTGGTATTATTCATCTAACTCACTACTTCTGTCTATTTTGACTATACAGGAGTGGGCAAAAGGAGGTTTACAGTTGTTCATATGGAAAAAGACACACAGGTTATGATGATTACAATAGCTTTATTAACTCAAAAGAATAAACTCTTGTGTTTCCCATATTCACAACTATAAACCTACTTGTGTCCACCCCTCCATTTTAATTTCTAGATGGTCTGTTTGACTTTTTTCAAACCTCGTTATTCATTTATATGATCTTTCAAGGCTTATCTTTTCACTTTAGACATAGTAATCATAGTTATTTTACATTCTTTGTCTGACTTAATGGGTAGCTGAAGCCTGTGAGAATCTGATTCTGCTGGATATTTTTGGTGTTGGTTCTCAATAATGGTGCATGTTTCCTTGTATATTTGTGATTTTTGACTGAGAGCTCATGTTCCTTGGAACTTTCTCTGTATTATTTGTAGTTTGAGTTGAAGATCCTTTCTGACTTGACCTGTATTTATTTCAGCTAGTCTCTGGACATACACTGGTAACCTAACTTAAGTTTCCTTTGTCTGAAAATGCAGTCATTATTTGGGATGTTTTGAAGATTTTGAGGACCACAGATATAGTTAACATGGACCTCAAGTCCATGAATTCTATGAATTCTTGAGGGAAGCTTCATTTAGTGCTGAGGTTGAAATAGGCTAGTTTGCTTACTGTCCACTTTTATCTAATGGGTTTATATCTCATTTGACCTTACAATGAACAACAGTTTTATACAAAATAATCTAGTATTTCCATTCTTAGATAGAGGGAATATTTGTACTCTGTTCTTTCCAACACTGTCAAAACAGAAGTATAAAGTTTCTGGAATATAGCAAAAATACTCAAGGAAGAGGTATTATTGAGACCTACAGTTCCCCTGAAGTTTCTGATTTCATTCTGATAATCTTCTCTGCACAGTCATTAACATGTGTGTACCAACATATTGTTTCCATCCAGAGGACATCATTAAGGTATTGGATCTACGATAATACCAAAAATTAAGTCATTTCATCGGTATATACATTTTAAAGTATTTTATCCTTATCGCCGTACTGCTCTCCTACAAAATTGTGCCAATTTATGTTATACTCATCAGTGAGCTGATCAGGAACTACAAATTTTTTTCTGCTGCATAGTATTCCATTGTATAAATGTACCAGTTTTTTGATCCACTCATTTATTACTGGACACTTAATGGAATAATATACAGCAGAAAGAAAGGAGCTACTACCCTCCTCAACAGCATGGACGGAACTGGAGAGCATTATGTTAAGTGAAATAAGCCAGGCAGTGCAAGACAAATACCATATAATCTCACCTATAAGTGGAACCTAATCAAAAAAACAAACAAGAGAGTAAAACATAACCAGATACATGGAAATAATGAACAAACTGACAGTAACCAGAGGGAAGGGGGTAGGAGGATAACAGGGAAAAGAAGGGTAAGGGTCACCAAGGAACATGTATAGAGGACCCATGGACAAAGCCAAAAGAGGAAAGGACTGAGGGTGGGAGGTGAGGGTGGGTAGGGTGGGGGAAAGTGGTGATGGGAAAACTGTACTTAAACAACAATAAAAAAATGCAAAAAAGTTAAAATAAATAAAAAATATGTTATGGTAATCACAGAAAAGAAAAAAAGAAACTACAAATTTTAATGTCTTAGTCTGGCCTTAGTTTAAACATTTCCATTGTATTTAATCTGAAGCTTTGTGAAATCCAAAATAGGAGTTATCTCTTATCTTCTTCAATAAAAATACTGAGGAAAGATTTTTATATATTTATATTCTAGTGTCCAAAAGAGCAAAACAGGAAAAAAAAAAAAGATCTTTTAAGAAAAAAAATAAAATCTATGGATGTTTTGAAATTTAGAAGAACATTTTAACAGCAGTGGATAGTGTATATCCAGGCTTTGTCACTTACTAACTGCTTGACCTTGGTGGGCCTCCATTTTCTTGTCTTTAAGATGGACATGATAGTGGCTACCTCAGAGAAGTGTCAGAGTATTAAATAAGATGATGTTGGCAAAGTACAGAGCCTGATAGAAAATCAATTCTCAAAACTGGTAGGTAACATTATTAACTTACCCCAAGTGACTCTGCTCGTGGATGGGGCAGTTGAGATTTGAACCCAAGTGTGCCTGAATACAAATCCCGTAAGAAACCCTTCCAACTTGCATATTGTTACAGGACTTAGAAACTGGTTGTTCCCAAAGATCTCCTGCTCAGTAGGCAGATTTTCTTGCTGCTCATTTTTTCTCCATAAGCCAGAGTTTTTTGCTGCCCATTTTTTCTTCATAGCACCACAGGAACAAAGGAGTTGGGGAGTGGGTTTTCTTCCTGATGTGTGATAAAACTGATAAACATAGTTAAGCTTACTTAGCTATGTACTTACAGAAGATAGATGATATTAAGCCTCCCAAACAGCTTCTGGGTAAATTTTCTAATGAGGTTTTGAATACAATAAATATCCTGTGACTCTGTTCTTCGGCAATGAACAACTTCTACCTTTCCTCTTGGAGAAGTGAGTATTGACATTTTTTATCCTGTCCCAAAAAGAGAGAAAACAGCTCACTGTTAATCTGAGATGACAAAGCCAGTCCAGTTACATTACTTTAAAAATTGGCCATTAATTCAATTTCTGTGTGGTAGAGTGAACATGGTAGTAGAGTGCAGTGGGACACATTTTCCCCTGGGGATAGGCTGTGACGGCTGTCACCACAAACCAGGTGACATGTTTCTATCCTGGAGAATGATGTTTCTGAGAATTGGCTGATCTAGAAATTTTTGCAACCATACTGTTTCCAATAAAGCTACTTTAAAGTATTCTAACAATATGCTTGAAAAACATGGAAAGAAATTATTTATTGATTCAGAGTCCTCATATATTTAATTAGCCACCAATGTATATGGTCAAGAGTTACAGAGAATACTGACAGTTGCCGCCCATGTTTCAAATAAAGTTTCTGGAATCCTGAAGGGCAGCAGTCCTGAGAGATATTGTAAAACACTCTGTAGTCAAATAAGTGTAGGAAATGCTATTTGAGATAACATTTCTGAGGGACCATCATGTCCATTTAAATCTCTGAGAAGTTCCATAAGAAAGCACCTGCTTTCTTTGTATAACCAAACCTTTTCCATACCCTTTCTGAGGAAAATCTCTAATGACAACAATGGAGAGCCTAATTTTCAGAAAGACATTTTTGGGAATGCTCTTGACAGGAACAATAGGCCACAAAATTATTTCAATCTTTCACTCTTCCCTCCCTTTCCTTCCTTCCTTCCTCCATCTCTTCCTCTCTTCCTTCCTTTTTCTCTTTTCCCTTTTCCTAGGGAAAAAAATTTTATTATATACTAGCCAATGCGCTCAAAAACAGGCAAATTAATATTTCACCATGGTACTGACTGCAAGAAACATATGGAACATTTCCAGCATCCTGGAAGGCTGCCTCCTTCCCCAGTCAATTTGCCCCTCCAAAGGAAATTATTCAGACTTCTATCTCATAGATGATCTTTGCCAATTTTTGAACATCACATAAATGGAATAATATAGTGTGTATAGTTTTATAGTTTTCTTTCAAAACACAATGTATCTTTTGGTTTGTTGTAGTTCAGATATACTCTTGCATAATTTTCATTTTGTGAAAGTACCAAAAACTTGAGCGCCACAGGAGCATGAGACAGCACTGGACTGGGCTGCTCCCTTCTCAGATGAGGAAACTGAGGCCCACACCATGAAGTGACTTGTCTCAGGACACACATGTTTGGTCAGAACCTTGGGCATCTCCTTCTCACCCAGACCCCTGCCACTCCCACCCGTTCAAGTGACCTGCAGGGTGACTTATGGTAAGAAGTCTCCCATCTTCACAGTCCACTGGTGTTCAGATTAACTGAAGTTCAGCTGCTCTTAACCATAAACCTACAGATGTTAAGAGTGTGAGGTACAGGGCAATGCAGGAGGACTTGCAAAGGTGGCAGATGGCAGCCAGACATCTCATCCAGTGGACTTTGCCTTGGTGAACTCATACTACCCTTAACTTTGCAGGCCACAAAGGGGTTTCATCAGCACACCCAAAGCAAATCCATCTCTGGGGAATGACCACACAATGTCCAAGCTCACAGAAAATGAAAGAACAGGTACAAAATGCCAATTTATTCATTTACAAAGAGAAAAATCAATAGCAGGGGAGTGCTGATGCTTCTGTAGCTCAGACAGTTATCAAATACATCACATGGGCTAAGTATAAATCTTATTTCCTCTCCTCAACAGGATGAAAGGGAACCATTTCTCCACCTCCCATGTGCTATGTGGCCACTATCTTGCAACCTTGGTGTCAGGGTAATTGCAGTGAAATGGGGACCTCAGGCTAGTCTTGCTCCAGCCAGATGTTGCCTTGTGGAAGTGTGGGCTCAGAATGGCAGATACTCACATTTTGCAGCGGAAAAGCTTGGCATTTACCTAACAGCTCCAAAATTTGAAATACTGGCTCAACTTTTTTTTCACACTTTGCAGATTAAATAAACATTTCTTTAAGCAGGTTTAGCTTCCACTCCTGCTGTGGCAGAGTCACCCATGCACTCTCTCTTTATAGACCAACTACACGGAAACGCCAGCTACCAGAAGGTGGCTTACGTGGGGCCATTGTCAAGAGCACAGGATGTGGAATCACAGTACCAAGGAGGAGAACCAGTTTCTATCCCTTATTAGCTGAGACCTTGAGCAATTCCCAGTTCCTCAGTTTCCTCATCTGTAAATTAGGGATAGTACATATACTTCAAAGAGTTTTATAAATGAGTTATTATGTACAAAACACTGAAAACGTTGTCTGACATAGTTAAGAGCTCAGGACATATCAGCAATCATTATTATTATTACTGAGCATGACATTATCAGGATTAAAAACTGAACCTCAAGAAGTCACTCGCTGAACCTGAAACCTGAGGGGCCTTCATCTGCTGTACAGATGCTAAGTGAAGAAAATCAGAGATGAGCATTTTTGGGTGATACCTTCAGTTTTTCTAGATTTCTCTACATTGTTGATGACCACAGGGTCAATAAACCCCCTTTGCAATAGACACTTTCTTTCCTAGATAAATGAACACACCTTTAATCAAGTTGCAGTCAAGTTTTGAGGACCTGCTAGCATTTCCTTCCTAGATGGCTTTAACATAGCCCAGTTACAATGAGTTGATTTCATGTTATAACTCTAATGTCAACCTTTCTTGACATTTAATTTTTTTAATTATTTTTAACTACACAGCAATGCATTATAATGCATTCTTCATTATACCTTCTCAATGCACAATACGTTCTCATTGCAAAAAAAATAAAGCTTTACAAATAAGACTCAAATCTGGTCTTTTTTATTGTGGTAAAATATACACAACGTAAAACTTCCCATTTTAACCACTTTTAAGTGTACAGTTCAGTGGCATTAAATACATTCACATTGTTACCCAATTAGCATCATTATCCACATCCAGAACTTTTTGTCTGAAATCCTGTTGAAACCGTTGGTTCCACTTCAAGTTCCTTCTTTCTTGGGTTTGTATAATTTCAGACAATATTTTCTATTTGAGTGGAACAGCCACATACCCTACATGCTGGATGGGCACAATTGCCCTTAAGGGAGAGATTCATTGAAGGGTATCTAACCTAAAGGTCTTTCTCACTCCCAAATTTGTGAAAGCATTAACAAGCAATAAAATGAGAGTATTTTTTCAAAGGAGGCAATTAGAACCTGTGGGACTATCATCTGAACAATTAAATACCCAGTTATGTTTTCGACATTCCCTATCAATGTGAAATTAGGTATTTCCTAATGATAATACCTAATTTCATTAGAGACAATAAATTTCCACATTTGCAAATATATTTTACTTGCTTTCAGTAGAAACAGATTTTAATAAATGTCTTGGCTCCAATTCAAGATAGTCATATATATTTCCATTTCTGGGTTTGGTTTTAACTTAAAATCAAAGTGAGAAAGACGCATCCTATTTGTAAAACATTATATAATAAGCTAATGCTACCTATACATAAAAGTTTTGAATAAAATAAAATAAAATAGGAAAGTAATTGGAGAGTTGAACTTGGAAAAAGAAAACAAAAGAAGATGGAAGAGGACAAGCAAGGTGCATCCCCGACCCTGATAGCAATGACTTTACATCTAGTGGCTCAAGAAGTGATCAGATCTGATCATACTCTGTGGGACAGAGTTTTAACATTCCATGACAATAGTTTGGGTCTCATTCAAAACAGAAAACATAAACTAAAATCATACACACAAATTAGACCTTGGAGAAGTAATCTCTCAGTGAATGATGGGACTAGAAAAAGTAAACCCACTAGCCCAAGAAAGTGACAGGAACTTTTCTCTGCCCATAGCTCTAGGTAGAACACAAAAAGAAAAATACTTGTGCGAGTTCAAATTCCAGACCAAAGTGGGTGTGGAGCCCCAATCAACACCACCTGTGTAGTATGGAAATCCCCAAGAATTTCAGATAAAAGACTCTGAGTGTGACTATAAAACAAGCAGGTTTACAATTATTAGAAATACGGAAAGAAAAATAAAAGTCATGAGAAAAGGTAATTATAAAAAAGAAACTTTAAAAATGGAAAATATACTCATTAAAATTTAAATTAATTAGATGAGTTAAAAGATATTAGATAAGACTGAAGAGAATGAATGACCTGGAAGATAGTTGTAAAGAAAGCATATGCAAATAAGCATGTAGAAATGGGAAAATAAAATACAGTTAAAAGATATTAAGGCAGTATAAAAAAAATCTTTATCATAATGATTTCAAAAAGAGTAAGTGAAAAGTTGAAAATAATGGCTAATGATTTTTGAGAATTAGTGAAAGACATGAACCCTCAGTTCTGAGGAAAATAAAAATAAATCCTAAATATATAATGGTGTAACTACAAAACCCCAAAGATAAAGAGAAAATCTGAAAGTAACCAGATAAAAGACGGTCTTTGAAAGAATAGTGATTACACTAAGAGAGTATAGTTCTCATTTGCAACAATAAAAGCCAGTAGTACAGAGGATGGTATACTTCTGTGAAGGGCCAAATGATAACCATTTTAGGCTTTTTGAGCCACATGTTATTCTCTGTCCAACTACACAGCTCTGCAACTATAACAAAGTAACAACCAGACACAATATGAAAACAAGTGAGTATGAATGTATTCCAATAAAATTTTACTTATGGTCTCTGAAGTTTGACTTCAGAAAAATAGACAATGAGTTGAATTTTGCCTATGGGCTATAGTTTCCCAATACCAGAACAGTATTTTAAAATACAAAGGAAAAAATAACTATTAACCTAGATTTCTATACCTAACTAAACAATCATTTTAAAAAAATAAAAGTGAAGTAAAGACAATTTCACCCCTTCCACATGGTCATGCCAAGTTAGCAACCTTAGCCACACCTGCCACCTACCACCACTTCCCTGCCATGGATTGCCGAAAAGTGAGTGAGCTTCGGGCCTTCGTGAAAATGTCGGGCCTTTGTGAAAATGTGTAGGCAGGGTCCAA